TCTTAAGGACCATGATAATCCATATTTCACATGCCTGCAAACACAGGAGCACAAATCATTCACATGTAAATGCACACATAGGTACAAAAAGAAAGCAAATCATTCAAACCAACAGCAAACAAAGCTTTTGTTCAAAGCGCTGGAAGCTCTCAGCACATTCAGCTTTTGTTCTACTGCGAGTCCTTGACCAGAGAATCTGAGTAACCTTGTACCGCTGTGAGGCTGCAGCCGCTCAGTTATCTAAAGCCACGGCCGGGCCGTGAAAATCCTTGCTCTGTATGTAATCACTGGATTTTTTAAAAATTCACTCAGCATTTTCCCCCTGCAGCAGGAAGTTATCAAGGTCTGTCTGACTAAATGGTTCAGTGTTAATTCTGCAACAGTGGACGAGAAGAGAACGAGTTCAGAGGAATCAAGCAAATTATCGATGTGACAAAAGTGTGACATCCTGTGAAATACTGCTGGTGACATAAACATTAGAATGCGTCGGTTGCACTGAGTGTAAAACTAAATTGAACTCAACATCGCTGCTGAGAGTGTCGTTATAATGACCAACACGCTGCACCAGACTGGAAACCTGAGCTGCCACCTCCTGGGTTTATACCTGCGCCAACTAGTCAATTATATCTGTCCAGAGCTGACCTTTTGGATACACTGTAAAACATTATCACTTCATCTTTTTATCCTCAAAGTTTGTCATAATTAGCATTTATATTCCAGAGTAGTGTCCAAAAAATATGTTTTGTGAGGTTACGGTGACCTCTGACCACAAAAATCTAATCAGGTTCTCATTCTGATTCCTGGATCCTTCTGGATGTTTGCGTCAGATGTAATAAAAACTCCCAGCTGGAGCTTCTGATTTATTGTGTTGACATGAGGAGGAGAGATGTGAGGTCAGTGACCTTTTGATCTTTGTGCCCCAAATCTAATCAGATGATCCTTGAGCACAAATGTAAAGAAATTCCCCCCTTGAGGCGTTCAAGAGAGCTCACAAGGATGGGACAAACAGGTGGGAAAAAAAAGAAAACTCAACGCTTCCAGTCTCATAAAAAGCCTCATTGACATTAATATTTAAATAATCAACAATAATAATCACATTGGGGAAGACCACTGCACTGACATTTTTGACTTTTTGACATGTTATATTTATAATAACAAAATGATTAGAGACAGTGTGTGAATGCTGAAATGAAGCTAATGATATGATAGACAACTAAAAGCATTCATGGATATTTTGACTAAGAAATGAAAGCACAAAATGCATAGAACAAACACAGATTGAAGTCCAAGTGACAAACAAATGTCCATTATCTTTTCATCAATATGCAGAACGTGAGCAGCATCTGATTATGCAAATAAATGACTCGACAAAACCTCCGTCACTTGCAGAAGGTTTCGCGGCCGTCCCAAACAGTGTGTGGACGTCAGCATAAAAAGTTGCTGATTCCATCTCTCAGCTGTTGCCTTTTATCAAGCCAGGTGATCAGTCTGTTTATATTAACGCGAGAAATTCACATTACAAAGCAAACTGTGGCCTCGGTTTGTGACTGAGCAACTCTGGCAGGTATAAATCTGGTGCTGACAGCATTGTTTATTGAACGCTGCTTTATGGATGGCTTACATAAATATGCGCTGGCACCACGTCTGCCTTTGTACAAACCAGTGAAGAAGTTTTTATTCCTGACACACTTTACAGTCCTTTGCTGCATCATCTTAGAAGAGAGAAAATCCATCTGTTTCGTTTACTCTTTGGTTAGTGTTGGTTCTAGTTTGGGGACTCTTGGTGCCGCTCACTGCGTCCTGTATTATTAATGTAGAACAACTGGATCACTTTATAATCACATCACAAACAGAAGGAAGATGACCAATTCATCAAACTGTTTCGTGCGTAAACAAAATTAAATATTGGCCGACAACGTCACGGCAAGTTACGCCAACAGAGTCACGAGGCCGATTGTTTCCTAGATAGCAAGTGAACCTGATGTTTATCTCCTCTTCTGTGGGAGCTGTTTGTTTCACGTTGTTCGATTTACTGTTAGATTATCACCTTTGTCTTTCATTAATCAAGCAGGAATCCTCCCCCTCCTCCTCCTTAGTGTATTTCCTGGCCGGATCCCAAGCGTCCTATATAAGGACTAAACCCCCGGAAACTTGAAAAACGTACAATTTATAGTTTGTTTAAGCTTCATCTGAAGATATCAAACGTTAAAAAGTCTTCCTGTCATCCCAGAGATCTGAACCCAGGACTTAAAAGTCTGCTGACCTTCCTGGTGAGCTAAAACAGAACATGAAGACCGGCGGATCCTGCCGACCTTTCTGACTGCTGGACAGGGGCGATTCGTGCAGGTTGGCGGTGCAGCTAGAAAAAAAAATATCTATGAAAATGGTCCATGACGAAAGCCGATGCCAAGATGCCCACAGCTGCACGCTGGCAGAGTGTCAGTGCCTCTGGCAGGGCTAGAAAAGCCACTGAAGCTCTCTCTTGCCTGAATCATTGAGGAAATCCTGCATAATGGATTTTGAGCCAGATGAAGAGCGTAAGAGACAAACATGGCCTTAGGAGGAAGACGACACTATTGTGCATTTGTGCCATTTGTGTTTAAAAACAAGCTAAACAGACAATTTCAGAAATTATGCATTTAGAATGGATTNCTTCATATAAACCTGATCGGACATGACAGCTGATACAGTTTATTACCTTCCAAAACACCGAGTCGAAGTCGGCCCCGTGGAACTTATCAGGCATCCCAGCTGCAGAGAGTTTCGGGCCGAGCAATGTGACAAATTCTTCAAAGCCGACCTGGCCGTCACCTGATGAAACACACAGAAACGTGTCACCGTATGGCCCATGTGTTGGATTATATACAGCAGAGAGAGAGAGAGGGAGAGAGAGAGGGAGACATACCATCCATGTCAAGTCTTTGGATGATAACCTCCAGCTCCACCTCATTGGGCATGTAGCCCAGTGAACGCATGGCCATCCCCAACTCCTGCTTTGAGATAAAGCCGTTCCCGTCTCTGTCAAATACCTTGAAAGCCTCGCGGATCTCTGCGGAGAGAGAACAAGTACGTTTCTTAAGAGTTATCACTCACACTTTTGCACCCGGTCGACTCAGCCGAACATTTGAAACATGTGAGAGTGTTTGTGTTGAGAGTTTGAAGTCGCTTAAAGCTGTTTATGGAGGAATTCTGAACAGTTACTGTGGGTCAGAGCTTAAAAACTATAATCTGCCTTTTATTTTTTTTTTAGATGTTTGTGTCGTGAGAAGAAGGAGGCGTTGCTGAATATTCACGCTTTGAAAAGTGAAAGCAATTTAAAACTCTTTCTTTCTTGAGCCACGTTCCTTCTCTATAATGAAAATGGTGGTTTGTTTGGAGTAAATCCCGTGTACACTGTCCTGCACTGTTATCTGCTGTTTGAGAAACATCTAAAATCCCATTTTAGAGATTTTAATATGAGACTTGAGTATTAAAAACGGGATTAATGCTTATTGAATTACACACTGGATATGGGAGGCAGAAACTACTGAAAAACTTAGTGATGTTTTAATTGGATTTCTTGAGGAAGACACAAATATAGAAACTAACCGGGCATGAAACAGCATAATTAAACTTCAACCCTGTTGTGTTATCGAAGAGACGAGTCTACAGGTGAATTTTTAACTGACTTACAATAAACAAATGAGTTTC